TGGAAGTGGGCGAGTGGTTATTCACCTAGCAAGTTGGTCAATAAAGTACAGGAGTACACAGTACCTGGCCACGTCCGGGATGCATACGATGAAGAACTAGCACGGTGGCAGCGAACGGATGGCTACTGCCATATCCTGAGAAAGAGCTTGGCCCACCCAAGGGATTAATTCCCTTAATGGCGGTCGTACAAGAACACAAACAGAAGGTCCGACCGGTACTTGACTATCGGGAGTTGAACGGCTTTGTAGACGCATTCACGGCTGGCGAGAGGTGTGTGCGCAGAAATTACGAGAATGGCGGCGACAAAGGAGCTGGCGTATCGCTGTTGGATTTGAGAAATGCGTGCCTACAGATTCACATTGACAAATCGCTATGGCCGTTTCAAACAGTGGTCATTAAGGGCAAGCGGTTTTGCCTTACGCGTTTGGGTTTTGGCCTGAATGTGGCACCACTTGTCATGAAGTCAGTGATCGACATGATAACGTCCCAGGATCAGGACATTAAGAGTGCCAAGGTCGGCATACGTCGGGTTTATCTTCATAAATGAAGGCCTAGTTTCTGCAGCGCGCGTAAAGACAGCACTTTGCAGATTACGGGCTAGTCTGTAAAGATCCGGAGCGATTGAGAGACGGAACTAAGGTCCTGGGTCTGCAAGTCTGGGAAGAAAGCAACTCCCTTCGATGGAAGCGGGGAGGTCAGGTTCCAGAAATTGCTCAAAAAAGTTGACCCGCTTGAAGCGTATTTTTCCTTGTTTTCAAACTTGTGGGTCATTTCCCTGTGTGCGGTTGGCTTAGGGTGGCAACTGCATTTATTAAGCGTTATGCAAGTACACTAACCAAAGGATGGGACGACGAGATAAAGGATGCCCCTCTTGGACGTATGCTGGAGGAAACAGTGGCCAGAGTGCGGGAATCAGATCCTGTCGGCGGAGACTGGTGTGTGAAATCTTGAAATGACAGTTTGGGTGGATGCAAGCTCCGTGGCCACGGGAGTAGCACTAGAGGTGAATGGGAGCGTCGTGGAAGATGCTTGCTGGTTGCGTCCAACCAATGATGCCAAACACATTAATCTTGCTGAGCTTGATCACGGTAATCAAGGGCGTGAATCTTGCCCTGCAGTGGCAGGCACCAGTTATGCATGTGGTCACCGATTCAGCATGTGTGCATCGGTGGGTGTCTGACACCCTGACAGGAAGGACGCGTGAAACACGAAGGCAGCGGGTGAAATGCTGATGAGGCGGCGCTTAGAGACACTGCGAGCTTTGGTGGAGGAATACGCACTGACTATGACTGTGACGTTGGTGAAGTCTTGTCAGAACCGCGCTGACAGCCTCACCAGAGTGCCGCAACGCTGGTTGGAGATGCACAAGAAAGGAGGAGAACCGGTGTAAGTGAGTTTGTGTCACTGCAACGAGCCAGTTGAGCAAACGTCAGGTGACCCACATCCACCAGCAGAGTGGGCACCCAGGTGTTAAAAAGAACAATGTACTTTGCTAGGACTGTAGATCCAACGGTGTCTAAAGAACTGGTGAAATCTGTCGTTAGAACCTGTGAAGCCTGCCAATCGATCGATCCAGCACCAGTGCATTGGAAGAAAGGAAATTTGAGTGTGAGAAAAACTGGAGCAGGTTAGCAATGGACGTAACCCATTGCAATGGTAGCCATTTTCTTACGCTCATTGACTGTGGTCCCTCCCGTTTTGCAGTATGGCGGCCACTGAGACGGCAAGACTCTGCTGGTGTCATTAAATCAGCTAGAGACAGTCTTCTCACGAACGAGGCCCGCCGACCGAAATACTGACTGACAATGACACCACGTTCACTTGCAGACAATTTAGGGAATTTGTGAACAGCTGGGGCGTGCATTTGAGGTTCCGGTGCGCTTTATTGCCGTCTGGAAATGGCATTGTGGAACGCAACCACAGAAGCGTCAAAACCATAGCGGCCAGAAAAAAAAATTGTTCAGTCTTTCAAGCGGTTTACTGGCATAACGTCACACCTAAGGACAACCTTTCACCTTCCACGGCACCGGCTGATGTACTGCACACATACCACGTCCGGGTGAGAGGCATCGATCAGATTCCGCCTGAATCACAAATAACCGAAGGGGAATACAAGGAAGGGACATTGTCTGGGTTAAGACTCCACGTGGTAAATGCACGACCAAATTTGGAACCGGACGTGTGACCGAGGTGGTGAGTCAGCAGTCAAAAGCGGGTCGATGGAACACCTCGTCATGTTAGAGACCTGCGCCATTTTTTTGGGCTCAAATCCCACAACTGACGAAGAAGACACGGAGGATAGTGAACAGCCAATATACATAGAGTTGGATTCAACAACCAATCACTCCGATAGTGGTAGTTTGCCAATAGATCGGGACGTGTCTAATGAGAGCTCCTCTGATGAAGAAGTTCAACCAATCCCCTTCGGAGGAGCACCGGAACAAAAAATGACCGTATCCTCACTGTCATCTGTGTGATCAGGAGATCAGGGGAGTGTGGCGGACATGAGACAGAACCTGGGACGAGCACAACTAGTCGCGACTTGCCTTGTCCCCGCCAAAAAAAGGGCCCGTGTTTGCTTAGCATGTAAAAGCTACTGCAGTTGAAATGAGGGAGAGAAAAAAAAAGCACTTACAGAATCTGCCGTAATCCATCCTCGGCCAGATAACATAAAAAGAATGAGGGGGGACTTGGCATCGCATTTTTATCCAATAAGGACGCAATGCATTATGGGACATGGACGCAATGAATTATGGGATCACAGGAAGATGCAAGGGATTATGGGTACATGAAGAACTATAAAAACAACTACTTTTTCCAAGTCGGGCAGTTCTTGAGGGGCGTTCACGGTTGACGGCTAGAACGGGCAGTTAGTGTGATTTGGAGACAGAACTCAAGAAGGAACGACTCAAGTTTGAAATACCAGCTGAGTGAGCTTGAATTTACTCGCTGGTTACTGTTTTCTTCATTCGCCTCAGTATCCAAAATTGCAGTGTATGTTTTATTATAAATTAGCTTAAAAGCTGTCCTATCAGGTGGTATTTAAGCTAGCTCCTGTGGAGTAGTCTTGGTTTGGCAATCATCACAATAATTAGGGAGGAGTAGATGCATCAGTAAACTACAGAAGAACTCAAAATTAATCGTTGCATTGAATCAATGTTTAAGCTTACCTATTAAAAGTTCAACAATAATTCTTCTGCTGTCACTTAATTTAAAGACAATTTGATGTACATAGATCCTTATTTTTCATACAAACAATTATTTTTATTTCATGGGTGAGAGAACAGAGTACAATTTATAAGACAAAATTAATACAGAGTAAAGATGGGAAAATAGAATTAGTTATACATTCAACATTTGAAGAGTTAGAGAAACATAACAGCTAATTAAGTAAAACCTATATTATGGAATTTAAAAGAATAAATGCGAAATGGGAGGTCAATTCTCCCACAAAAGAGATTAAAAAGCCCCAGCTATACTTTATAGAAATTTGGTATTTACTTGACATACCCCCCACACACACACACACAGTGTTGCATTGTGACACAAGGTTGGTTTAATGTGGGGAGCCTGAGCACATACATCCAGGCTAGGAACAAAACTTCCCCCATACCCCTGCAACTGTCAGTACCGATCCCTCTCTCTGGTGGAATGAGAGGGTGTGGCCTTGGGCAGCTATTCACCAGGGCTGGTCACCTCTCAGTATAATTTTCCTCAGTTGCAACTCTTATACCAGTGAGGATGGAGCAATCAGAAAACTGCTAGTCAAGTACCCTTATAATGAAAAGTTGCAGCTACCATCAGATCACAAAAAAGTTAAGACAGTTAAATTATTAAGGTGGTGAAAGAAAGGAACCGGTAAACTATATACTAAAAAGGAAACAATGAATAAACCACTATTTCTGTTCAATAAACATGGAAAGATTGCTTTTCTTCTGTTCTTATATTTTTTTTTTTATTTCCTGGACATAAATTATGTAGAAATTATCCAAATGTTCTGTATGCCCAAGCACTTTCAGATATTCTTTTAGGCATTTGTTGTAAAGTTAAGAGGTAACAGTGTGTGTGTGTGTGTGTATATATATATATATATATATATATATATATATAGTGTTTGGATAGCAATCCCTCTTTTATATAAGTTTTGTTAAAGACAACTAACAAGTTAGATGTAATTATTTATGAGTTTGATTTGATCAGGAACACAGTTCCTTAAGTGGCATTTGAACTCATAAATAATTAGTCCTTTGTAGTTTTGATTTTGCAGGTGTGTTATTTTTAATGATAAGGTTAGCTGTTTTAAAGTTTTTGTAATTTAATTTTCTTGTTAGGGTTGTCTGGGGTAGTGTATTTCTTTATGATATTTCTAAGTGAAGAGTCATCTTGCTTATAGCTAATGTGTATTTAGCTTTTGTAGAAGATGTTAATGTTATTGTTTTTGCCTGTGTGTTCAGTATCATTATTAGTTACTTTGAAAAGAAATAGTCTAATCTAGTGGTCAATGAGGAAAACAGTTGTTAACTAGTGTCTGTTTGTCATTGTTAAGTTCTTTAAGGATAAGTAGAAAAGAAAATAAATTCTTGTGTGCTGTCTTTAGGAATTTTTTTATAACCACTATTTTATATTTAAGTGGACATTCATTCTTAAAATTAAGGTGTCAGGAGAAACTCCTCTGATGCATTTGATTTAAACAGCATTTAGGAATTTCAATACAGAATAAGTTCACAAATTGCAAAGTTCTTATTACTAAACAGTCATACTACAAAACCAATTCTCAGACTGTAATGAAAATGGTCATATAATAAGAATTATTCAAGTATTAAACTTTCTTTTTCAGTCAATCAAGTGGCCTTTATGATCTTTCAGTAGAAATTTAAAATTGTGTATACTTTTCATCTTTCAGTTCAAGATAAAAAAAACATTGTTTAAAAATACAAAAAAATGTAATTAACAAATAAAAATAGTAACAGATACTGTGTAAAACAAAAAGAAAAATTACCTTGTAGTTGAGAGAGTTCATTTTCACAACGTGAACCATACACTCATCCATGTTCAGTGAAACAAGTTTGTTAAGATGAGAATTTTCTTGACAATCAAGAATTCTTTTCTTTTCTTTTGTCACACCAATTTTACTTTTAACTGTTTCTGCTATTGCTGAAAGGAGATAAAAATTCCTTACTTTGGGGAAAAAAAATTTCATCTATCTCTACAATGCTTAGTTATTTTTCATCTAAATGAACAATGCTTAGTTATTCAGATCTGCATGCCAAAATTCTTGTGTTTGTAACCTCATATTTTGTTGGATAAATTTCATCATAATTTTCATCTCCCAAATCTTGGGAATATTTTTTTGCATAAATTTTTTTGCTCTTTTTTCACAAATACAATTTTGTGAGGTTAATCTATTTACAAATGTAACGTAAAAAATTAAGTGATCTAAAGCTTTATTATTATTTTTAATAATCAAATAAGATTTCTGTACAAAAGTACAAAAAGGATAATCAGCATTTTAAATAAAATAAATAGGACTTATAAATGCTTACCTAAAAAGACTTTCTCTTTGCCAATTGTGTAGGATCCAACAACAATAAGTGTTTTGGGATTCTCTTGCAGAGCTGACAGAGATAATGAAACACTTAAATCCAAAACTTCTTTCTGGCTTGGAAAAGTATAACTTGAATTACAATATCTATTTAAAATAACAATAAAAACACTATTTAAATAAATATATCTTTGGAAATACTTTCTGATATTTTTCACATGCATAAAAATTATACTAAAATGTTAGTGTTTGTTGAAAAAGAATTCTGACATATACAACAAAAATACAATAAGTAAAAAGTATTATGCCACTACTAAACAATGCACCTGTGGGAGAGATAGTGATAAACAATCAAATCTTGCAGACCATTAGTAAGTTCAATTCTCACTGAGTTTCACACACTAGTGTCGCTGTTCCAGACTAAACTAAATTTGGTAAATAGTTATAGCACTCTCCAGATGCATGATGGGAAATAAATTACAAAAAATTTTAAAAAATTCCATCACAAATAATGATGACCATGTTATAGAAAACTCAAATATATAATTTAATTATTTACTTGTTAAGAAAAAGAAAAAAAAATCTATTCTGACACTATCTTTTTAGCAACAAAATAAAACATTTTCTATTGAGATGATTATTTTTAACTTCAATATTCTCCTAACTGATCTGATAATGAGTTTTATTTTTGTGAATCAACAGCATTCTCATTACTTTCAATGGATTTATTTTCTTTCATTAAACCAATGGTAATCTCTGCTAAAAATTTTCCTTCTAATGCATAAATTTTCAAACACTTTAGTTGTTTTTATTTGTATGAAAACAGGTAGGAATACCTAATTGAATTCACTGATTATAGATATTTTTGGTAATCAAGAGAATAAATATATGATAGATATAAACCATATGTCCAACAGATAGGGATGTATAGGTGGTGTAATGCATAGTCACCTCAAATGAGAAATCAGGGAACTGAATTCAAATTCAAGACAAGTTCATTACATTCACTTACACACAAATACCCTTGGGAATAGTACAAAATCATCTCTTCACAGTTACAGCTATGACTCAAATAGTAGGACTTGTATATTAAAAATCATTTTTATCTAAAAAAAAAAATAAAACATTAAAATTGTTAATGCAATATTCACTTGCAAAAATAAAATAATTCTCACTAAGCAAAATATGTTGTGGCTTTAAATAATCCACACAGAGTTAATAAGCCATAAAAAAAACAAATCAATTAAACCAACAGATAGATAAATCAAAGCATATATAGATATTTATTACTTAGTTTAATCAGGTACTTGTTTAGGAAGAGGAAGATTGTGTTGTGTTAAGTTTGAAAATAAACATTAAAAATCCTAATAGAGATGTAACACTGTAAAGGGTCATTGGTAGTAGTTGAAAGGAAGGTGATACTATTGTGACACTGGTGGTGTGAAATTAGGATCAAAATGGTTGGTGCGAAAACCCTGTATAGAATTGGAGCGTTGGAAAAAAAAAACGTTAAACAAGAAAACATTAAAGTCAGAAACAGAAATTGAAATATGAAGAAAAGGGAAAAAAGAGAAATGTTTTGTTTCCTGGTAAACTGATGGGTGAATCAGTTATGTTATGAATATGAAAACTGGAATATAAAACAGTAGAAAAATTCTTTTGCTGATTTAAAATAAACAGAAGGAGCTGCTGTTGGAGAAGGCTGAGACAAATCAGCAGCTGCAAGGAAGCTGCTGAACCCATGTGACCTGCCATCAAAGTCCTGCCGACCTAACATCTTGTGTAGCTGTTTAACCCGCTCCATGTTTTAGAAGCAAGAGATAGTGTCATAATAGAGAGATGAATGGGAAGGGTCAATTTTGGTGTATCAACAATTATATAAACCCATCGAAAATTAAGCCAGCTGCCTTCATCATTATTTATGATATTTGTGTTTTCACTGGTGGAAGCATTCTTGTCCTTTTCCATAGCATGGTTCCACCAACTCAATTCAGTTCCTAAGTGTTGACAAAAATTAGATCTTCACTGCACTGTGTTCAAAGAACACAACATGCACAGAGCAGATGAATGAACAAAGCAGTCAATAGAGAACCATCAGTTGACCAGCACCAGTACTGACCAGGGTGGGAAAGAACTCAGATCAACCCAGGCCAGCTGTGTTATACAGATGGACAATACACAAGTATCTCAGTCAACTAACATGTATATGATGGGCTTTTGAGAAAATCTGACTGAGAGAGAGTGCATTCCTTAAAAGGCTAAATAGAACCTTACTAGGCTGGTACTCTTTCTGTTGTTGAGCAGCCAAAAGAGATGCTGGATGAAATGGTGGTTTTTCCTACCAAGGAAGACACGTTCTACCCTACTAATGAGCACATTTTCTTTATTAAGTTTTCTTGATTTTCTTAATATACGCCATTTAAAATAAAAATTTACAAAATGAAACATCTATTTTAAACACAGGTATCCACTAAAAATAACATTTGAAGAAAAATATACTTTTAAAAAGAGCATTTAAGAGATAAAAAATGTTTTTATTTAGCCATTTACAAATGGTTTCATGCATAGTAATTCTTCAAAATAGACCTCTGTTTATCTTGAACACTGCTGAGATCTATGATTCTTTACACATTTTTGAAAAGGAATTGTTGACAATTCAAAATAATTTAAATCCATTGCATGCAGCTAGAAGGGCATTTGTCCAGACTGAAATTTTCAAAAGACCACAGAGAACTTTGTGTTATCAAATCCATCCATCTACTGGAATTGAATTCACCAATGGTGATCAGGTATATTTCAAAAGAGATGGAATGGAGAATTAGATGGGACCTGGGACCATTATTGGGAGTGTAAACAAACAGATTCTTGTGAAACATGGATGTATGTATTTTAGGGTTCATTCATCTATGTTGTATTCAATGCTACCATGGAAACTCAAGTGAAATTCTGTTGAACAATGTAAAAGATACAGAAAACAATTATATTGACTCACTCATAGAGAATGTTGAAAATCAGTCCACAGGATTATGTCAAATTATTTTAGGGATATTATCCAAGCAACAGAAACTTCAGTCCTGATTTATTTTGACAAAATTTCACAAAGCAACTGAAGGTGTCCCCTCTGATGAAAAACAACTAGCTTAAATTAAGCTACTTGGGCTGAACCCATCTGAACAGGCAGTGGTGACAGGTTTATCCAACAAAGCATTAATTTTTATTACCTTGAAGATATAAGTTCAATCCTTATGCGGGGTAATAAATATTGTCCATAGATCTTAACACCGCCACCTATTTTATCCTATCTAAAATAAAATTTTAGATAGGAAATCAAACCTAAAATCTCATCAGCCCATTCATGCGATTGAAGATTTTTCTTGTTGGAATAAATGAAAAAGAAAATATATATGAGATAGATCAGGAAAATAAAATTATCAAGTTGTAACACCCTGAATTAATTTAAATTTACTCAAGCTTAAACATAAAGTAATATGGTTAAATTGCACTAAGATCAATAGCTTCCAAAATAAAATGTGTCAACAGTACTCAGCCTCCATACACTGCATAACACACTTCTTGGGTGTTAATGCATGTCTATACTTTTGCCTGCATACAATCATTCAGATGGTAAATACTATCCTGCAATACATATTCCATGCTTCTAGAATAGAGCTAACAGAATAAGTTAGATGTCATTTCATCATGTCTCATAAATGGATCAATATTTATTTGTCAATAATGACAACCACAGAAATTATCTAACATCTTTCAGAGCCTGTTAAGTGGCATGGGCATCATGTCAGTAAGCATTATCCTGTTGGAAGTGTAAACCATTTTCCTGTTGCAGGAATGGCAGCAAAATAGGCTGAACAATATTCTGGATATACATCCACTAATACCAAAAATGAGTAAGAGTTGTAACTTGTGACAATACAATGTACCAGTGGTTGGGCCTGTGTGTCATGGATAAATACACACCGAAAGATGTCACTCACCAGGTTTAAGAGTGTTACTACATTACAATATCAGAATATAAAGTATCAATTGTATGCATCTACTTTACAGAGGTAAAAAATAAAATAAAATTAGCCTTCTCTTTCAGGATGTTGCAATTTTATTTCCCATCAATGATATATTATTTAAAGCTTGCTATATATATATATATATATATATGTATTGTGGGGAAAATTGTGAAAATGGCTTACCTCGGAAACGCGTTCAAATCTGTGCAGTGTGCAAACTCCGGTCCTTCCAACAGCAAAAGAAACCAAAATGGTGGCGCCCATATTTTATGCTGGGCGGTCTCGGTTAGTTAACGTGAAATCTCGTCGTCTCGTCATTCGCATGCAAATCGTGGTCGGTCCGCGGCTGTATAAAGCAGGCTCGTTTTGCTGTTTCGAATCAGAGAGCTTTCGGCTCGTGAGAAGGTTGGACGTGCGACACCGGTTTCTTTGTTCCTACCTGCTATCATCAGTTGAGTTGTTGCGTTACCTACCACACACACACATATATATATATATATATATATGTATGTAGTAAGCTTATTATTGAGAATAAAATGTTTGACATAATATGGGTATAGAAATCAATACAAAACTACCAGTCCTAAAATCAACTGGGTTTTCCCAGCCAGCCTAGCAACATCAAACAAATTCAATTTTCACAGCACTTTTGATTAATCTTTTAATTTGTCCCCCTAAATACAGATCCTTATTCATTTTATAGTGTAATGTCATATTTTGAATACATTTGCCATGTAGACAAACCTGAACCAACAAATGATGACTGGGCTTGTGGGATTTCTACCCCAAAGTTTTTTAAGGCACTTGGGATGTTGTGTTACAAAATTTTTACAATAAGTTTAAAGTTAAACAATTTTATTTTTAAATGATATACAATAAATTTCCTTTTCAAATGATCATATGATTTAATACTTACGTTGTATCCAAGTATAATTGATGAATTTTAACATTTTTCAAAGCTGCATAGTCTTCCATCACAGAATCTGCTCGGAAATCACCTGTGTGCAAGATTATCTTCCCATCTTTTTTTTTCAACAGTATCATTGTTGCACCAGGACAGCTGAAAAAAAAAACAAGGAGAGTTTAAAAATATGACAACATAAAAGAATCTGACTTCAAAAAGTGAAAATAAATTCTCGATTGTTTGAAGCCATGGAAATAAACAATTGTCATTTGTAAAGGAATTATTTAGACTAATTCCTCATCACTACTGTTTTAATCACTGTTTTATTCCTTTGGCTTTCTTCAGTTAGATATCATATCAGTTAAATGTGTAATTTTCATTTTTTTTTTATTTGGTTAACTTCTGCACATATCCTCATAATAAAAATTTATCTAGAATTTAAAAAATTATACATCCTACAATTTTACTGCAATGTAACAAAAATGCCTAACAAGTAAAATTCTCATTGTTTGAATAAATGGGATGAGCTATAAAGAAAGACAAAAAAAGCAATATATATATATATACAAGAGTTAACTGAAAAAAATAATAGGCTGACTAAGATACCCTCATGGAATGTGTCCAAATAAGGTTGTTACTGCTTGCAAAGTTTTTCTTCTGGTAAAAACAACTCTAAGAATCAACTGATGCCTGAAAAATGAATTTATTTCCATCTCTACAAATATGAAATAATGAAAGAAAAACTGTTGCATATGCTAATACAAAAAAAAAATCTCAAATAGTTGAAAATTCAAAGGTGACTAATGTATTACAACTTGTGTGCCATTTGACCAGAAATTGAGAGTAGGCATTAGTCTCACTAATCTTCTTTTTTAAGCAAGGGTACAGCAACTCTGGTTTTATTTTGCCTTCCAAAATATGGCAGTTACCATGTGACCAATACAGACTGAATTGTGGGATCCCTATCAGTACTTAATCCCCTTGAATCTGCCCAGAGACCACTACAAGGGTTTATTTTTCAGCATAGTCCCCCTTGCAGTCCACACACTTTTTTTCATCAGTATTGCAGTGCATGGATCCCATTGGCAAAGAAGCTTTCATCCAGTTGGTCAAGACAGTCATCAACAGCATATAACATCATCATCATCACTCTGATACTGGTGGCCAATCAAGTGATTTTTTTCATGTTGGTGAAGAGATGAGGCCAAATCAAGAGAATAGAGAGAGTGATCAACCAGTTCAAAGCCACAGTCACGCACAGCAGCCATTGAAACCAATGACTTGTGTGTTGGTGTTGGAGTTGTATGTTGTGTGTTGGAGCAGTATCTGTCGTGAAAGAGATAATCAGGTACACCGGAAAAAAAGTTTGTGTTTTGTGTGCGATCTCCCAAAGAAAAATTACCAAAAAGTAGTCAGCAAAAATCTTATAGCGAAGAAAACAGCGATGTACCTCATCAAACCAAGGGACAGCGCATCGCGTGTATTCTACGACGGAAAAAGTGACGAAAAAGAAACAAGTCCGTCGCAGGAGTCACTATAAAAGTATTTTGATATGCAAATTATGGAGCATCCTATCCCAGCTGTTGATGAATGAACAAAATAGGTTCTGCCGATAAAAGCAGTTGGTGTTTTCGATTCGTGGCGGAAAATTCGGGCATTTTTGGCTTCGGCGTTTGTTAGAGAGTGAGTTATTTTTCTGACTGGTTACATGCATTGTGATTTGAGATAGTACCAGTGAATCAAGTTTTCAGCATTTCTTTCTGCACCTGATATTCGAGTCTGTACTTACAGTGATTTTTCTTTGTGTTGTGGAAGTAATCTGTGACAAATAATTCCTTTGCTTTCAGAACGCCTACAGTATCCTAATGAAACAAGACCTCTTTCATCAGTTTTTTTGTGCATTTGGTCTTGACAGTCTTCTGTAATTGCCTCAGCAAGTTGGCATAGTACACTCCATTGATGGTATGGCCCTTTTGAAGATAAAACACAATGCCTTTTGCATCCCCAAAAATTGAAGCCATCACCTTCCCTGCAGATGAAACAACATTGGAATTCTTTGGAGCAAGTGAGGAGGGGTTTTTTCACTGCATAGAGTGTCTCTAGTTCTATGTGATGAAGCCAATACTCATCTTGGGTTAGAAAGCATTCCAGGAAACCAGCGTGATCTGCTTCAAACAATGTCAGATTTTCTTGTGATGTCATCAGCCTGGTACACTTTTGATCAGGTGTCAGATGTGGCACCTTCCATGCAGAAACCTTCCTCATGCCAAGTTCATTGTATAGAATATTCTCAACTCTCTCACAGGATATGCTAATAGCATTGGCTATTTAATCTATAATCATTTATCTGCCATCCATCAAGATGTAGTCAACATGTTTTCCTCAGTGGTGGCAATTGCAGGACATTCAGAACTTGGGTCATCTTCAAGTTTCTCCCTTCGTCTCTGTAAGCGTTCTGAAAGCAAATGAAATGTTTGTCGCAGATTAATTCCACAACACAGAGAACAAATCACTGTAAGTTCAGACTTAAATATTGGGGGCAGAAAGAAATGCCGAAAACTTGATTCGCAGGTACTATCTCACAAATCCCAATGCATGTAACCAGTCAGAAAAATAACTCACACACCAATGAACGCAGTAGCCAAAATACATCAGTTATCCCTATAGATTCAAGAACACCAACTGCTTTTATGGGCTGAGCAGTTTTTCATTCGTTGACAACTGGGAGAGGACGCCAAGTATTTTGCATAACAAATTACTTATATAGAGACTCCTGCGATGGACTTGTTTTTAATCTAAATATTACATCTTTAGCATGTCACATGGAATATGTGCCCCTTTTTTTTTTGGTAATTTTCTTTTCCGTCGTAGGATACATGCAACGTGCTGTTGCTTGGTTTGACAAGGTAAGTCACCATTTTCTTTGCTATAGTCTCTTAAATTCAGCTGCCACTTTTGCACTGTTGATAAAGCTGGTGTTTCATCCCCTAATGTAGCAACCATATCAGCATGAATGATCTTTTGGGCTAAAACCTTCAGCAGGTACTTGATAATACTACACTGCCAAATTTTGTCCATTTTCCAGTGTAGTCGCTATTAGTTATTTTTCAAGTCTTCTTTGAACAGTCAGATGTCATTTTACCCGGAAATAAACTATGCTGTTATTAATAAGAAGAGGTGAAATTAATGCAAGATTTCACAGCTCTAGCATCACTCCTTCATAGTCAGCTTATGAACTTTTCAGCCCAACCATGTATGTAAGAAGACATGCAAGACAAGCAGCCAAAATGCAATAAATCTATATAATACTTTAACTCTAATCTTGTATGCATGTATATTTGTTCCCAAGATATAGCTTAAATGATACATAATAACACAACCAATTTAGAAGCATATTGTATCTTGAACACCTGTCAAGTGCAGTGCCAAATTTCATTAAAATGGATTCTTTAATTAGGCCATTTTTCTGTTTTGACAGCATTTTCAATAGGAAATACAGTATTTTTTTTTCAATACACATTTTTATATCAATCCTTGTACATAAACAAATACTTGCATATTATAGTCCAACTATTACATGCAATAAATAAATATTCATAATACAATATTATATTAAGTAAATTTAAATATGCATAATACAACATATATTTATACAATTCACTATACTACATTAGAACTTATTTTATAAACAAATATCTCAGATGTTTAGCAACTACTTGATAGATCAAGAGGTTATGTGGGTGTGTCCTTGTAAAATGTAATCAGTATGACTTAAAAATTGTGTTACATGACTTGATGGTAAATAGTAAAAATAAATAAATGGTAAATAAATAATGTATGCAGGTTTACTGCCATTACCCATTTTTAAATAAGTGTGAAGAAGAATCAAGTATGCATAATAAAAATCACACAACCTTCTTTTAGATAAACAATATGGCTTTTGTTTCACTAGGTCAACTGCTGTTATGTTAATAATTATTCCTGAATTTCTCTTTCAGACTTTAAATAAGAACAGATAGGCTGTGGCTTTAGATATCTCAAAGACATTTCACAGGTTTTTGGTATGCTGGCTTTCTCCACAACCTCAAGGGTTATGGTGTCTCTGACCTGATATTTGATTTAATTGAATTATTCTTAATAGATCAGATAATGGAGGTCATGTTGAATGGCACCATTACTAGATTAGTTTACATCAGTGGTTCTCAACCGGGGTCTACATGGACCCTAGGGGTCCATGTAATATTTCCGGGGGTCCACAGGCAAAACACAATTGTTGTGTTAATTAAAAATAGTAATAATAATTATTATTATAATTATAGTAGAATATTTTATTTGTATTAAATTAGTTTTCATTTAAAAATAAAGCTTAATCGTATACTATTTCTTTATTAAAACCTTAAAATTTATATTAGTGAAGAATAGAAAATTGTTCTTATGTCCAATAGCTATGAAGGGGTCCACCAAGATAAAAAGAAGGGGAAAGGGGTCCATGGGTAAAAAAAGGTTGATAACCACTGGTTTACATTAATGCATGGGTCCCCCAGGCTCTATCCTTGGACCTATGTTGTTTCTTATTTTCTTCCCATTGTCATCAGTTCCCAACTAAATATTTATGCTGATGATACAACTATTTACTCCTGTCTTAATAGTAAGTTTAACAGGTCCAACAAAGTAAAACTGGCAGTTGCTCTTGAAAATGACCTATCAATCAGTTGTTAACTGAGGCAAGAAATGGCTTGTAAATTTTAACATCTCCAAAACAAAAGTGCTATACTTTAATCAATATAGAAAAACATTTCTGCTTGTAATCAGCAGGAGAGTAACTCATTGCACCTTCTTGGTCTCACATTTTCTACTGACATTAAAGGGAGCAATTATATTGAATCAATTGCTGCATCTGCTGGGAAGAAAATTGGTTCACTACATCATGCCAGACAATTCTCATCGGAATCCATCTTATCCATTTATAAATTTACCATTCATCTGTGTATTGAATATTGCTACCATATTTTGTATGGTGCTCCATATATATATCTCAAGATTATCAACAAAATCCAAAGTAAGGTCTGTA